TTTACTTTGTTTTAGGGAACTCTGGTGGGCTAGTGTAAGGCACTGTGTGGTCAACCCAAAGGCTAGTGGTGTGAATCCACTGCTGCTCCTGAGGAGGAAGGGCCATCTCCCTCCATGCCATTTACAGCTTCTGGAAACCCACTGGAGGGTCAGCTGTGAGCTGGTTCTAACTTGATTGCAGATAACAACAGCAGTATTGTGGTTTAGGTAAAAATTTAGAAAACAAATTACTTTCCCATTCAACAATTTATACATTGATCATTCATGACATTTGTTAGACTCTTCTCAATGTGTCAGCACTCTCCTCATTTCTAGCTTGGGTTCCTCATTTTAATTCACCCAGTTTTCCTGTCCCTTCCTGCTTTTGTGTTTTACTTTTGGGCAAATGCTGCCTTGTTGGTCTCAAATAGCTGAATATTCTCCTCATAGCTCTTTATTTTCCAGGTCAGCCTACTGTTTGGCTGTCAGATGATAGCTGGAGATAAGTTCTAAGTCTGAAGGGCGTTCACTCTTGTCTGTCAGACCAGTAAGTCTGATTATTTTAATAACTGTTAACTTGGTTTTGGTCTCCTTTTTCTCTCACTCCACTCAGGACTTTGTATCGTGATCCTGTCCTAATCAGAGCTGTCAGCTATGGTAGTGACTAGTTCTTCAGGCCTCAGGCTAGTGGAGGCTGTGGTCTGGGTGGCCCTGTTAAGTCCTCTGAAAGAACTGTTTCCTTGAGTCTTAGGCTTTATTCACTCTCTTTTGCTCCAGATAGCAAAAAACTAACAGTTGTATCTTAGGTGGCCATTCATAAGCTGTTAAGAGCAGAGTCACCATTGACCAATGTAGGAGGCAGAACACTGTTCCTACTGACTGACTATGTGATGCTAACTGGTTTACATGGCCTCCACGACCATGGTCTCTACCTCAGCTCCAAGAGGTGGCTGGTTAGGCTAACAAGCTTTCCTGTGTCCCCTGTGTATTCTTACACATATGAATATATTTGTAGCATATACAAATGTGTAGCCACATTTCTGCTTTGGTTTCACTTTCTGTGCTAAAACCTAACTCCATGGATACTCCTTTTAGCAAAAGGTCTCTGGGCACACAAACACTTGATGGCTAGAGGGAAGCAAGTCCTGACTCTAAAAAATGAAGGTTACTAAGGGCACTTAAACAGATGCAACAATGGATTCTAACATACATACGTTGTGAGGATGGCGCAGGACTGGGACACATGTCCTTCTGTTAAAGATCAAACTGCCATGAGTAGGAAGAGCTAATGAAAACAGCATTCGGCAAAGAAACAGACTTTAGAACCCCCTGCACATTATATCTACCCCAGCCATCCGCTCAGAGTTAGAGGTGTCCTGACCCCAGCTTCTGCCAGCACAGTCTGGTCCCCATGGTCCGTGGTGCTGGGCTGTCCTAGGGACTCAGCCATGCTGGTTTCCTGACCTGACCACACCCTGCACCAATCACCACCTCCTTGGGAAGTAGGAGCAGCCTCTACTCGGCCTTCACAGTTCTCCCCCAGAGTCCTGCCTGGTGAACCCACATCATCTTCCTTTCCGTTAATGTAAACCCTGCTCTTGGAGCCTCTGAACTCTGCCACTGACTTACATACATTTCCACAGTACTCTAAGACAGAGACTTCCCTTTCCAAATGACAAATAAAACCAATTTGCCAGAATGACAGAAGGTACTGCAACCCATTAGGCTTTAGTAAAGATCGCTCTGTGGGCTTGCTATTATCTGATGCCTAGTAAACTGCAACTTTTTTGTGTGCCTTTCGTGCTCTGAGAACTATATATGGATCTTACCTTATGATGCTCTTGATTGCTTACTCTGTGGTTTAAAATACTTCCTAGTTGGCAAATCACATTGGAGCTTCTTTTTTTTTGGTGGGGGAGGTGGTGGCTTTTTTCTGATCAATAATTTATCCAATAAAGCAGTTGATCAACTTGCTTATCAGCCCACACAACAGATCACAACAGATCAGTTAATTAGTGACTGGCCAGTCAATCTAGTCAAATGAACTGGTCTAATCTCCACCCAAGTGACTGGGCCTCTGGTGCAGATATTGTTGGGAAACTTTATCAGAAGGAGAGAGAGACCTTTAACTCCAACTTCAGAGCTTCCTAATGGAAAATATGCTACATCTAAAGTAGCCTTGAAATAAAATGTCCAAATTAATTCCCCACCCTAGTCTGAATCTGGTTATAGAGGTGACTGGGTGTGGACAGAGAGCAGGGCTGGGAGGAATGCTCAACACTTTCTGAACTGAGCTGTCTCGTCATAATGTACAATTTCAGAGTCCCATGTAAGAAGGAATTTAAGATAAAATTAGTCTTTTTTGGAGGCAAAGCATTATATAGGAAATAAATGCTTATGAATCCTAAAAAATTATTTTAGTTCAATGTACTCTTACCATAAAAAAATGCAATTATTTTCCATGTTAGTAATAGATATAAAATTAATTTAAACTAGTTTTTAAAAAGAAAAAAATGGTATTTATTGGCAAAATTTTTAAAACTATGGTATTTAGTTTGGGGATCAAATATATATATATATAAACAAAATTCAAATTTACTTCTATTATTCATTTAAAAAGGAAAAGAAAAAAGACTTACGATTTGATGTTTTGATTTCTTGACTTTTGTACTTTAAAAAATATCAACTGGTTTACTTTTCTAATTTTCAGGTTTGTTTTGAAATGAATAAAAGAAAAAATTTCAGACCTCATTTACAACCTTTCCTTGGCAAGAAATGTATTGTGGCCATGAATTAGTTTTACTCTAAGTAAAAAGGCAAAGTGAATGTACATTACCACAATATTTTCATGTTTTAAAAGGTTTTTTAAAGTATCAGATCCACCATTATGAAAATTCTGATTACAAGAATTCTGTACTCAGATGTGAGAAATGACCCAAGGTGGAATGAAAATGCACAGTTCCTTGCTCAGAAAAGAGAAGAAACTTTTTTTTTTCTTTTGAAGAATCTCTCTCAGCCTGTCAGGGTGTTTTCCACTCACAAATTAATGTTGTTGGGACCTCCGGTGGCTTAGAGGTAAGAAATTGTGCTGGCAACTCAAAGGTACATGATTCGAATCTACCAGCTACTCTGAGGAAGAAAGATGGGCAGTCTCCCCCATTATGATTTACTGCCTCTGAAAAATCTGCTCAATAGTGAGCTATGAGATGGTTTGACTCTACAGTATGCAACAGCATGCTAGGCTCGGGCACGAGGAATCCCCCTGGCTAAATACAGGCCTTCCTGAGGCAGCCTGGCCCCCTCTATGATTGAGGCCCTCCCTAGACCCGGCTGGTCACGTACAAGGGGGGTGGGGGGCAAGACCACCAGGAACTGGGGAATTGAAGCTAAGAACCTGTCCTGGAAAGGCAGCGAGGAGATGGCACAAGGTAGGACCTTGAGTGAGCTGGAGTGTCAAGCCTTTGGCACATACTCTCTTGTTCCACAGGCATCACTTATAAAATTCAATTCACAGGTCAAATTACAAAGAATTTGAAGAAGACTGTGACTATAGACTTTCAAATCTCAAAGGGCAATTTCCTTTTCTGGGTACAAGGGCCTGTTCAACTGAACTATGGGTCCAAGAAGCTGGTCTTGTTTAGATCTGAAAAATGTCATGTGAATGTGAAATTACAGAACTACAACTATTTCATGTTTCTCATTTACTTTTTCATGTCAATCTTATTATTCTTTATAATTTCCTAATTATAGTGGTCCCACAGGGAGCTTAGAGGGTAAGGAGTTGCACCGCAAACCCAAAGTCAGGCAAGTTGAACCCACTAGCTGTTTCATGCGAGAAAGATGGGCAATCTCCTGTGTGATTTACAGCCTCTGAAAATCTGCTGGATGGTCAGCTCCAACTCATTGGCACGCAACAACAGTGGTCCTTCAGGGGTGTACATTACACCCATTGGGACTATCTAAAAGCAAGTGATGAGGCATCTGTAGCGCACGAGGCATCTGTAGCCAACAATAGCACGGCCATCTGCTAGAAATCAACCCTCAACACTAGTTACTTGTTTACTTAACACTCACATAAAGAACAAAATCAAGTATTAATCTATGGATTGTTCTCCTCCAGTGCTGCGACTGAATCCTGAGAAGCTTCTGTGAACCCAATGACCATCCATGCTGTGAAGGTGTCCGCATACCCACGCAAGCCGGGCACTTGGCCTGTGTAATAACAGTGCCTCATTTATATTGCAAAGTGCCTTGATCCAATGATGACAATATTGTTTCTCTACTCCCTGGGTCACTTGTCTCTTCTGATCCAGAGGAATCCAGGGTACTTCCTGGAGCTATTTGTGCTCCACAGAAAGAGGTAAGCCAGGTATGAGGACTGAACAAGTCATCTAACTACTACCAAGACTGCAACACCCATGTGTTACCAAGAGTGGGGGAAACACAGTGCCCATCACGTCTTCATTAAAACCAAAGAGGAAGGAACATCTGCAAATAGCATTTTCCATGGGAATTATTTCCTGTTCCTGGGGATCCAGGCCTGGAGGGAAGTGGCCAGAACATTAACTCAGAACGTTAATGTAGAGCCTGGTATATGATTAAGTAGAGAAATCTGGCAATGTGCACCACAGGCATGCATCACTGTGGGCAGGGGTCCTTTAAATACTATGCTCAGAGGCCAAGCGGCCTCTGAAATATCTGGCACCTTGGAGGGCTGAGGAGCAAGCCCAGAGATGAAGGATCGGGTGTTTGACCTCTCAAGGTTTCTGTGGTTGCTGATTCCCCCGAGAGGCTGGTAGGAAAAAGAAAGCAATAGAGGTTGGCTTTCATTTCTAGCGAAGAGACATCCAGAAATGATAATGATATCCCCACTGTGCAGAAGCAGGACTCTCTTCTGTACCAAGCTGTCTGAACAACAGGCCATTAGCGGGCAGAACAAACAGTTCCACTTAACTCAAGATGTAGCATTTACCTGTACATCACAAAATATCACCACCTCTTTCAGGAAGGGAGACCCTTACCTCGTTTGCTGTGTTGTGGGTTCCAACAATTCGGATGAAGGAGGCGGGCTGTCTTTCAAAAGTCACTGACTGCCAGGACCTGTGAAAGGAAGCATAACCACGTGCCAGGTTAGACGGTGCAGTCAACCCTACTGACAGCTGAAGCCCTACGGAAGCCATGTTCACTGAGGAGGGAGAAAATAACACACTGTTTCTACTTAGAAACCTATAGCCCTGTCAACAAAGGCACCTCGATCTGCTGCTGAATGTGACTGAGGATTCTGATAAAGCCTTCATAAACAGCACAAAGTGCAGACCAACTTTACGTGAGACAAGTACGTGGACAAATAGAAAGCCATCAAGGTTGGCTGGAGTTTATAACATACATTTCCTGATCTGCAAAATCAGGCCATGAGAGGAATGCCAATAGCCTGGACATAGTAACTCAGAGGATATGCCTGAACAGGGTCTCCCTGGGGCATGGGCTGCCCAACTGGGCAGAGTTCCTCTCAGTGCAGGGTTCTGGGAGGAATCAGAGAATGAAGCAGGGCAGGAAAGCAGGCTGAGCAGGGCAAGGGGAAGCCAGTGGAGTCTAGCACTTGCCCCTGGGGAGGAAGGCTCACTGCTGTAGTCTGAACTATGGACTCTTCAGCCTAAAGTCCAGGCCCCATCACTGTCCTTCCTGTTTCTATACAAGAGGTCTATTTTCAGGACCAGCTAGTCTCTGCAGTGACTCAAAAGTAGCCCAAATACTTGAAGCAATTCTTCAGCCGGCCTAGGTCAGACCAGCTCACTTAAAACCCAGGCCAAGAGGCCCCACACAAACCCTGAGGAAAGGAGCCCTGTTCTTGGTTTAACGCTCAGCAGCTCATCAGAATGCACTGGAGGAGTGTATGGCACCCACGACTGTAAACTTCAATAATATTTCCTATAATAAATGTGAGGAGTTCACAGTTGTTGCCACCCCTCCTCCGCTCACACAGTGGAAATGCCAGCTGCTGGGAAGCTGTTGCCTGTAATTGTCTAATTACCAAGTAATGCTACCAAAGAAAATAGATGTATTTGCAGTTTGCTTGGTTTCAGGTGTTTCATCTTCTCTCTCACCACAAACCTCCCACTGAGACTGATTCACTGCTGCCTGGACACCGGTCCCCTTAAGGTCATTAAAAAGTCATTACCAACCTATGTGCTTAGTCTGTGCCTCGGAAAGCAGTTTTCTGGCAACAGAATCAGAAAAAAAAAAAAACAAAACCAAACCCACCCTTTCTTGGTAAAAATGCTATTACTCAGACATGAAGGTGATGCCACTGGACCATCTATGGGGCTTGATCTATTTGCTCACCGGGGGACTCTTTTCTTCTAGCTCCAGCCAGGCGAATATTAGTAGGGGAAGCTATCAGGTTCCAGTGGGGCTTCCTCAAAGTCCTGGGTGTCCATGGGCCTGACCATCCCTGCTGATCTGAATGTGTAACTGAGTACAGACCATGTCCCTCCTCCAGGTCAGAGGCCTGTCTCTGGCTGAGGTTCACACTGTGTGGTTTGTTAGCACTCAGTCCTCATTCCCAAAGGAATCCACAGCACACACAGAGGCTGGTCCGTGGCCTGCTTCTCAGACCACCCCTCCAGAAAAGAGAAACATGACAAGTGAGAATCCTGTTGCCTACTATTAGGTCCGAGTTACAGTTTCATCAAAAGGACTGGTTTCAATAGAGAGGAGGTAGAGGAGTCACAGATAAGTCCTCTGTACTTCTAAGCTTTCTAAAGATCTCTGTAAAAAAACCACAATCATTAAGCGATTATGAACATAAAAGTATAAATGTACACTTCTAAGCTCAGTCCTCAGCAACACGCTCATGGTTCTGAATGTACAGGCAGTCCTAGACTTACAGGCCTCGTGGGTCAACCCCCATCCTCCACAAGGGGTCATGTAGGAGGTGAGTCCTTTTCTGAGCCTTGTCTTGGACAAAGCCAAAGCTGGAACCCCAGGTCCCTGTTCTCATTTTCACAATTTCTTCTCCATCGTTCCCCACATCCCCTAGCCCAGGTATACCCAATGGGCTCAAGGCTTTGGCGCTATTGCCTCTGGCTTCTGCTTAGGGAAGCAGGGCTGGCAGGCTGGCAGCCTGAGCAGGAGGGAGCATTTGTGGAGTAATAAGATCATAAGGTCTCAATTTAATACCAATCCTCCATTACATTGCATTAATATCTAATCACATTAGAGTTCATTTTCACTAACACAGCCAGAGAGTTGGATATATTTCATTTTCAGCAAAACTGGATACCAACCCAAGGACCAGAGTATTTGCATGAAGGAAAGTTGGTTGGTCAGGATGAGGTAATGGCTATCTCTCTCTCCTCAAATATCAGACTCAATTTCCTCTGAGCTGCTTTTAAACAACTTTAACAGCTTCTCGGTAGAGAAATGATAAGGTGGCCCTGGAAAAGGCATCTCCATATTGGAACCACATTTGTGCAATCTCAGAAGACAATGCCTCAGCTGAGATTTCACATGGCCAAGAAGCTCCCACCATTTAGCCCGTGCAAAACCTTGGCTGCTTTTTGTTGTTGTTATTGTTGTCAAGCTTCATTCATAGCTACACAAATATTCCTACTCACTAACTACTCAGAATCTCTTCTTTAGCAGACAACATGTCCAGGAAAACACCCAGAGCATCAGAAGCACAGAACCCACTTAACTCAGAGCTGTAATTGGGGGATGCAAGGAAGGACATCTGAATAAGAACGATGAGTGTCAGAAGAGAAATGTGGCCTTTGCTTTTGAAAAGCTTCCTTTAGAACAAGCCAACTAAGGAACCCACCTATGACACAATGCCCCAGGCCTGCCACTCTTTGGCGTTCTAGTGACAGGCAAATCCTCACCCTTTCCTGAACTGGAGTTTCCTGATTGCCAAGGGAAATAATATCATTATTCTGGGCAATGAAATGCATCCAGAATTACATCAAATTGCAAATACAAATACATATGTGTATCAGTACACATAATCATTCAAAATTAAGTATCTATAAAAATTTCTGTCCAATGTTGACTCAGATTTTAGCTTTTGATGAGTTACAAGAGATATTTAGTATACTTCCAGGCACTGGTTGAAGTCTATACAGTGTATACTTATCTTTCCTAAGGCTTTTAGCATGATGCAAACATGCAGCCAGTGCTGTAACATTGTTGTTGTTGCTGTGTACAGTTGAGTTGGAACCGACCTGTAGCTGACCCTCCAGTGGGTGTTCAGAGGCAGTTAATCACATGAGAGGAGATTGTCCATCCTTCTCCCACAGAACAGCTGGTGGCCTCGAGCTGTGTGACTCTGGGATTGTAGTGCAGCTTCTTGCCACTAGCTCACCAGAGTTCCCTGTTGTAACGTTACTGTGACAATTATTTCCTCCAGTGTGGAGATAGTCATTGGGATGACCACCAAGACAGTATGTTTTAGTTCTGGCCATTTTACTCCCCAGGGCATAGAATACCATAGTTAGCAGCATGTGCTCTGAAGTCAGGCTGCCTGAGTTTGACTTTCAGTTTTGTCACTTTTGCCAGCTATGTGACCCTATGCAAGTGGCTTAATCTTTCTGGAGCTCAGCTTCCTATATTAATTTTTGTGGTGAAGATTAAACTGAAAACAATGTGTATGAACTTTATTAACTTTGTATGTAAACCAATATAAAATAATAAAAAAGTAAAGTATCTTGGATAGCACAGGCATATACTACGAGCTAAAAAAAAATTTTTTAGTATGTATTACTTTATTATTGTTTTTACTACTACTACAATTAAAATAGGCTTGGAAGCAGGAGTGGCATCCACTTCCAAAATCGTTGCCTCCAGAGAGTCTATGAACTTGGAGAAACGATGAAAGTTATACAAGTGTTCAGATCTTTCGTTCATAGGGTTGCTATTAGTCATCTATGACTCCATGGCATACAACAACAACTACTACAATTACCATTCAGCCAAAGGAACATGGAGAAGACATGGTGCCTCTTTAGGCCACAAGGAAGCTAGCTGCATAATTTCCTGAGCACATTCAAGTTTACACTGTGTGACTGACTTAGTAGCACAGAAGTTCCCAGGGGCAGGCAAGGCATTCCCATCAGCCCCTGTTTCTTTGAATTAGACAGTAGCTGAGCTGTGATAGAATTAAGCAAGTATTTGTTGGCTATACTCCTCAGCTTGACACCTGTTAGGTGCCGGGGGGGGTGGGGATCCACGTGAGATGTAGCGCCCACTCTCAAGAAGTTTATACTCTCACTGGGGGGATTAGTTGTCCTTTCATGAATTAATTAGAGAATAACATAGACAGGATAGTAATCTCACGTACAAACTGGGAGTATTCCAAAACTTCCTTGTAATTGGTTGTATGAAACTTGGAAGCAATTTTTCCAGAGAAGTAAAGCTACAAATTTTAAATGCCTTCTAGGACCACCTATAAAACTCTATTTAACCCATAATGAAGCTGAAATACTGTATATATAGTTAGAGTTAAAATAAAAAAGGAAGGAAAAAAATTCTCTTGTTGCCATAGTAGTAATTAAACCAGACAGAAAAACAAGGGATTTAAAGCAATTTCTCGAAAACTACTGTTTGATGAATAAGGATTTAATTTGCAATATATACAAAAACCACAGAGATGTGACCGGAACACAGTTGGTGGTCTGTTAATAAGAAGAATGAAAAACTGGGCCAGAACTTGCCATCTGAAAAGCTTCTCTTATTTTCAGACCACTGTGTGCTTAACAAAGTACTACTCAGCCATGATCTAGCTATTCTTAGTGTTCCCCATGCAATCTACTAGGTGGGTAGGCTGCCAACTCTGATACCATTTCTCAGGGGAGGAAACTGAGGCAAAGGCACAACCAGGAGCTAGAGATATAGTGTCAGCATCAGATGTCAGATTTAAAGTCCGTTGGTTGCTCTGCTCCAAAGAAGAACTTTCAGATCACTTAGATGCGGGAGCACTGAGTACCCATTTTCACACCAATTTAATTTTTCTCGGCTCCCAAAATATGACTGATGCCTCCTTATGTAGGCATCTCTTTCACGACTTTAAGGCTAGCGGCACGGGATCTCTCAAACACATTCTCATT